CACTGCAGCCTCAGGCTTACTTCTCAGCAGCCAGAGGGGTCCCGCCAAAGCTGTAAGAGGTGAAGAGAGCCTCTGTCATCTGCGATGGAAATAGGCAAAATTGAAGAGGCAAGGAACCACTCAAAACCCTGCTGACTATTTTAGAGCTGGGGAAATCTGGGGTTCAGAGAGCAGCGTGCCCTGACCACACAAGCTCGTGGGCCTGCCACGGCACTTGCTGGTTCACAGGCTGGCTGGCCAGCTGCTCAGCCAGGGAGACAGTCCCTGCCCCCAGCCCTGCTCAGCAAGAACGCCTGTCTCTCACACCAGTGTTCCTGTTCTCCGTGCTGCCCACGCCACAGCGGATGTGATCCATGAGCCACAAAAGGTGGCAGCACCTGACCTTTCTCCTTGTGCTTGCCAAGCTCTGCCGTGTGATGGCTCTGAACCCGACAGGGAACTGTGGCCTGCAGTGGGCAGGGTGATGCATGGATCTGCGGGGCCAGTGCAGGCCGGGGGGCCGCTATCTGGAGCATTTAGGGCCTGCTGACCTCGGCTCCTGGGCAAAGGACCAGGATGGGCGGGGTCCTCTCTGCGGCCAACACTCCGCCTGGTCCAAAGGGACCCTGAGCCCTGTCCTCACTAGAGCCTTGGGGTGGGGAGCAGGCTGCAGGTCCCTAGACCTGACGGAAGCAGGGTTACACCTGAGGTCTGTCCCTCACTCAGCCCTGCGTGTCTTCCTGGCAGTTAACCAGGTGAGTAGGTAGTGGGAGGGGAGGCAGGGGCTGGGCACAAGCTCCCACTTGGAAGATGCTGGGGCGTGGCAAGACAAAGGCATGGTGGTTATGGGGTACAGTGTGCTGGGAGTGGACCTGGCTGTCCCAGACGGGGGGTAGGGCCCCTGACCTCCGGGTGAGGGTCATGGCTCAGAGGCCTCAGGGGCTCGCGGGCCTTCCCTATGGGGTGACTGCTGCTTTGCCCCCACACTCCTGCAGTGCACATAGGCCCACTTCCGGAAGGAACTGGAAGTGCCCCCTTCCTGAGAAATCTTGGTTTTTAGGTGTTGGCAACTGCAGGAAACGGAGGCCCCTTTTCCTCCCTCCATGGCTGCAGCTTTGACCGGTGCAGGGTTGGCTGAGGGACACGGAGCGCCCACCCCATGGACAGAGATGCTTGGGCTGGGGATGCTCCCTGGGCCCCGTGGGTGGGGAGTGGAAGCAGGGGTCTCCAGCTGGACATGGACAGGAACGAGTCCTACCTGGACTCATGGGAGCTGAGCTGCAGCTGAGCGTCAGGACAGAGGTTTGGTTGCTGACCAGCGATGCTGAGCTCGCCTGGCCTCAGGGATTCTGGTTGGGTTTCCTTCGGTCCTTGCATTTTATCTGGCACCTGAACTAGATAAAGTGTTCACCGACACTCAGACACTCACGGCTGAAATGAAGCCTTGCCCCCACGCTCCCCAGGGTGGGCCCCCTGCCCCTTCTGGCTTCCTTTACCTTTTGTACAGATGCTGGTGCCCTGGCCCCAGGGTCTGGAGACACCCACTGTACTGATAACCCACAAGGGGCAGTCTCCAGGCTGAGTGCCATCGGGGACTCCTGCCACAGGGACCAGGACCCCGCGCCCCCAGGAGACGTCCCCCAGAGCTACAGATCCTGCCAGCAGAGGTCTGGCACCACCCATTCTGAAACCTCACCCTCCCAGAAATGAGGGGCAGAATCATGTGCAGTGAGCGCTTACCAAAGACACGCGGAGTCCACACAGCAGGATTTGCTCCTGGCCTGACCCACTAGCCTGCCTGGAGAACCCCTACCTCCTTGTCCACACCGCCGGCTACACTGCAGCGGACGGAGAAGAGGCAGCACCACCCCACTCTCTGTGTGGAGATTTGCCAGGGATGAGGTTAGGATGCTCCCATTAGCCCCCCAAAACCACCCTTGACAACCACGACTGTTTACCTTAAAGCAGTGCAGATGGGGCCTTAGGCCCCATCTCATTTCACACCGAGGGCAGAGGGTGTGCTGATAACCTGCAGATGGCAATGCCACTCCTGCTGCTGGACACTGCCCAGGGCTCAGGCTCTTGGTTCACTGCTGAGGATGCACCAGCGGCAGCCCTCCACCAGGTGCTTCTCCAGGAGGAAGAGCTGGTGGGAGGTGCGGAGGGCCCTGCCCCACCAGGCTGCGTGCCCCTCCCTCCCTCCCTCCCAACGGGGTCCTAAACAAGCACCTGGAGCAACGGGAGACTGCAGGCCCAGTTCCGCAAAGTCTTTGAATGAGGTGTGCTTGTGGGGCATCCACTTCGCCCAGGGTGGGGGGGTGGGGCGGTCCGCCACCCAGCTGGTGAAGGCTGTGTGTGGGAGGGTGTATGACTGTGAGCATGCATTTGCACATGTGTGAGCGTGGGTGGGAGCTGTCGTGGACTTGGCAGAGACTGGCACATGGGCTCATCTTCCTCCTACAAGAGCCCCTGCGTGTGGTGGGCCTGGTGCAGAAGCATATGGGTGCTGAGCCTGCGCTCTAGTCTGACTTTGATTTCCAGTCAAACTGCACCCAGTTGGTCACTCCGTCTGTTTCCTCGCCAGTGAAGTTACGTGGTGCTGGCTCACATCACAGGATGGAGAGGGGACACCTCATAATAGCTTACAGAACCCCCCAGGAGCACACAGTGAGCAGCCCTCAGCCACTCCGGTTCCCAGGGCTGGGGTGAGCTCCCCTCTCAGGAAAAATGGGAAACTGCCCTATTTTCCCTTTGAGCACATTGCAGGTCTTCTTAGGTCCCTGCCCCTTCCCCGGCAAGGACCATCATAGTTTAGGAAAAGTCCAGACATCTAAGGTCACCAGCACCCTATAGGACCCCTCAAGTTGCCCAGCCCACTGGACATGGGCCCATCCTAAGTTTACTCTGTCTCCTTCTCTGGCCTAGTCTGCGGTTGCTGTGAACAGTTTGGGGATTGAGGCTGAGAGGCCAGGAATCCTCTCTGGAATGTTCTAGAAAGCTGTGGAGGGCTGCATGCAGTGGGGAGCTCGGTGCACAGTGGGGCCCTCTACTGCTGTGTCCAGTGCATGGCCACCTGGGTTCCCCCAAAGCTTCTCCATGAAGCCCCCTGCCCCAGCCACAAGCACCTTTCCAGGTTTTAAGCTCCCTGGGTGGTTGGGACCACATGAGGAGCTGTATAAAGGCACCCCCAGGGTTGAAAGGCAGTACCCTGGGGTCATCTGGATGGGCAGGTGCTGAGCTGGGATGGGGTGTGTTCCCTCAGTGGGTCTTACATACCTGTCGAAGACCCAGTCCAATGTAGTCAGGTGTGGTAGGACCCAGGAATGGATGCCATGGAGATTCAGGCTGTCCCGTTGGGGGTGGGGGACTGGGGGCCACCTGAGCCAGGGGTTGAGGCCCTGCCCTGATCCCTGCTCCCCTTCACGGCATGCTTCCTGCTCAGTGGTTGCATGGTGGCAGCTCCGGGCTCCTGTGCTCCGGGCTGCTCCAAAGCACTTCAAAAGGAACTTGATAATACCCCCCCCGATTTATCGCCATGAACAAGTGAAGGCAGGTGGAAGGTTTCCAGAAGATGGGTCAAATAAACCTGGGCTTAATTCATGATATAATGTGACCATTAACAATGACGTTTAATAAATGATGTTGAAGAATATTTAGTGACATAAAGAGTTCATACAGAGTAAAAACTACGTATTTATCTACATATGAGAATGGTCAGCACAATCTCATTATCGTTAAATACATACAGGCTTGGAAAACACACTTGAGGGAAACATGTTAAAATGTTAACATTGGTCATCTCAGTGTGGTGGAATATTTAGTCTTAGTTCTCCGGTATTTTGCATCTTTTCTGCAATGAATATGCAATATGTTAGGAAGCAGAAAACACGATTTTTGAGGTTTTATTGGCACTTCCATTGCAGCAGAAACACTGACTCTGTGTGGTGCTGTCCCACAGGACCAGTGCAGAGCTTCCCCGTCCCCCCGAAGCGACCGCCAGTGCAGGAGGAAGCAGGGGGTGTTTGCAGCGTGGGCTGTGCCTGACCAGCTACTTCCCTCTGGTGGGGGCCAGCCGAAGCCTTTTGTTTGCCTCTGTTTGCTTCTGAAGCCAGGCTATTCGTTCAGTTTCTAAGTCTCTGGCCTGCACAAACTTCCACTCAGCAGACCTGGTGCGGTGACCAGGCGTGGGGCCTGGGTCGTGCCTGAATCCGTAGAAAGGGAAACAGAAGCAGGGACAATCTTAAAGCATGTGTGCCAGTCACGATAAATGACTCAGCAGCACAAGGGCCCAGGGAGGCCAGGTTTGAAGCTCCACACTGCTTAGCGGACACGGGGTACCCTGCACCCCATCATGCTGTGTGCACCCCCATGTCCCCCATACCTCCTGCCTCTAACCCCCTATGTTTGCCTCCTGTCCCTACACACCCCCTCCATACTTGCTTCCCCTAAACCCCCATACCTCCGGCCCTACACCCCCTATGCTACCACCCAGACAGCGACAAGCCAGGTGACTTTGCCAACAGGCTGGTCACATCTCGGGTGAGGGGTAGCAGGGGCGTCCCCAGACACCAGGAGATGGGGGAGGCAGGGGGTGACTCCACGGTTCTGGCTGTTTGGGGCACATTCGGACATGGAACAGGGTCTTCCCTGAACCCTGCAGGTCTCCAGTGCTCCTCACAACGCTCCATAAAGGTTCTAGAGGGACGGACACGCCGCTAACCTCTCGGTCAGCGGACGAGCCACAAGCTCGGACCCCAGACGTCACTGGCCGCCTCCGAGTGACCCCGGGTGGGGCAGGGACCCCATGGGCTGGCGGGCTTTCCCGAGGAGGGTACCGTTCCCGCCGAGGGCAGGAGACCCCCTGAGCCGGGCAGGCCAGCGCGGAGGCAGGCGCGGGCTTCGCCCCGCCCCGCCCCGCCCCGCCCCCAGTCCCCCGGGCCCCGCCCCTTGGCCCCGGGCCCCGCCCCTCGCGCCTGCGCCGCGGCCCCACTACGCAGGCGCAGGCGCAGGTGCGTGTCGTTTGAAAGTATGGCGCCTGTGGGCCCGCGGCTGGTGCTGTGTGAGGAGAAGATCCGGGAGAAGAGCGGCCTGGCGCCTCACCACGATCTGGGTGCGCGGCGGTGGCGGCGGGCCGGCTGAGGGTGCGAGCTTCCCGCCGCGGCGTCCACAGACGGGGTCGGACCAGAGGCTCGCTGTCCTGATCGCGCTCTTCCCGAACCGTCGAAGGCGGGGGGGAGAGGAAGGGGGGCCGCGGGGGGGGCGGGGGCCGCGG